AATTGTAGAATCATCCCCAAAAATTTTAGAAAATTACAAAAATATCACCTCAAAAGTTTCAAAAATTACAAAATTATCCTCAAAGTTTTAGAATTTTCTCTTGATTATGGTATGCATACTCCCATAGAATTTGAGACTAATATTTTTATTCATTTGAAAATTAAAAAATTTGTAAAGGGTCCAAAACACATTTTATTTTATTTAAACTTTCTTGAAATTGTCAATTACATTCTTAAATTTGTTCTTATACCATTCTCATCTTTCAAGAGTCACTCATGACTTCCTTTAATGCACATGTTTCAAGAGTCTCGTCAAGGTCATCATCATAGGAAATCTAGAGATGTTTACATGGAGTCAATCCATATGGCCACACTAGTCAAAAATCCTTCTATATTTAGTGGCACTTTAAATCCTTTTGAATTCATGGATTGGTTAGCTAACTTAGAAGAATATTTTGATTGACATGACATGTCGGATTTCTATTGCGTCCGGTTTTCTAAATTGATGTTGAAGGGTTCCGCCAAGCAGTATTGACAAACAATCCAAAGAAGCCTAGACCTCTTAGGAGAATCACCTATCATTTGGGTTGAAATGAGATATAAATTGAAAGAGAAGTATTTGCCTACTTCCTACATGGATCAAGTTTATGATCAATGGCTTAACCTTAGACAACATTCTTCTAGTGTCTTTGATTATTTTGTCCAGTTTGATTATCTCATGTACTTGTGTGACATTGTTGAAGAACCTTGTACAATTGATCAGTTTATTTTTGGGTTGAGACAAAAAATTAGAAGAGGTTAAGTTATACACTTTTAATACATTAGTGGTAGCCTATCAATATGCTCTAATGGTTGAGAGATTTCATAAGAAATCTAACTATAGCTTGATAGGTTCTCAATTACAGTCTGCTAAACAGCGTGACAAGATACCTTCCAATTTTAATTTTACCACATACGAGTATCATAATTACTTGAATGATATCCATGTTATTTTTGCATGTTTTCCTAATTCCATGGTGACAATGAATTTGGATGACACACTCTCACATACAAAAAAAGATGTTACTCATGTCGACTATCAATCCCCTTGTTTGATTTTATTAGATCGGAGTTCACTTCCTTCATAACAACAAAAGTCGATACTTGAAGAAAGTGAGTTTGAACCTTTGTCAGAATCAAATGTTGAATCATTACTAATCATTGAACTTGAAGAAAACTCCATTCAGTTGGTTCCTATGCAAGATGTTAAGCATATTGTGTTATCTATTTTACAATCTGTTGGCGATTATTCTGTGTTTACTATTCCGAATCCTGATGGCATTGTTGTGGATTCTTCTTCATGTGAGATTGTTGATTTTGTTTCGGATTCTTCTCCACCTCAGATTGTTGACATTGTTCTAGATTCTGCCTCACTTGAGAGTGTCAACTTTGTTTCTTTGCCCACTGTCAAGTATTTACTTGAGTCTATACTTAATTATTTTCAGCATCAAGGCGTTATTATTACTCCGTTGTCATTGAAGTTTTGTCCCATTGAATACTTGTTCAAATCTGATGGAAATTGTTTTGCTATTCTTGAGTTTGGATCTAATGTTTAGTTGCTTAATTTTTCATTGAATGTTAATATTAGTCCAGTTTTTTATTTGAAGGACGTGCTACTTAATCAAGGTATTCTAAAACCTCCTATTTTGTTATCCAATGTTTCTATAGGTGGAATTGTTTCTTCCTCAGTACTAGCTTCAGTTCTTATCTTTCCACTTCCATCGCGTATTTCGAGACAAATAGGTGATTTGCTACGTGACCAGATTTACATTGCTAAAGATGGAGATTTTTGCATTTATCCTGATCAATGAAAAGATATTGATGGCTCTTTCATTTTAGATGATGCATTATATCATCTTCATCCTACTCTCATAGGGTACTTCTACTTTGAAGACTTTCCGGAGGAGAGTTTTTCTCAATCGAGAGAGAATGGTGGGCATCGTATAGGAATTAGATAGATATTATAGATTAGTTATGAGGGTTATTTAGATACTTTTAGTATGTATCTTTTAAGTAATTTCTTTTAACTTTTGAGACTTTATTTGTCATTATTTATTTGTTTTAGGGTTTTAGTTTCCCTATATAAAGGGATGCATATAAGGGTTTTATTTAGATTAGACTTTGATTATTATTGATTATTAATATTGAATCCTTTTTGCTTAAATTCTCTCTCTGTCTTCATCCTCTTCTTCTTATTTTCTCATCCCCTTCTTCTTCCCTTCTCATCCTTAATTCTTCCTTACTACGATCTACATCACCACGTGTAAAAATATTGCATGTGCAAATTCAAAATACCAATAAAGAATTTGCTTACTCTCTTAACCCTTTTCAAATAATGCATATTCTGTTTTTTGCTTACTGAAAAAAGTTGTCCTAACTAATTTGGTTGATACAACAAAATACCTTAAATAATTGCTCAAGAAATCGTAACATCAGATTTGAGTCATTTGACTCTTCTGATTTACCTCTACCACCATATCTTTCTCTCTAACATTTAACTACCTCGATCTCTGCATATACTGGTCAACAATTGGAATTTGGAACATAGATGTACAAAATAAATCGTCAAATTAAAAAAAAATGAGAATCCTTAATAAGAAAACTCACTACAAAAAAAAAAAAAGGAAAAAAATAGAAAGGAAACTCTGAATAACATGTAGGCATGACAATATGTTTTATTATATAGAGTAGCTGAGGATTAGGATCCATATTAACAGCCAAATTTAACATGAAAGATTAGATTGAACATGCTAAATTGCTGCAATATTTTTGAAAGAGCCTTAATAATTGAGAAAAAATCTAAATTCAAGAATAGAAAAAAGCAACTGCATTTCAATTATAATTGTCATCTTTCAAGTAGGAATATGATGCCAAATTACCAATAGCATACAAATAAACAATGATCGATAAAAAAAAATTTGAGAATTATTTACACGAAAAGGATTAAAAAACCATAAACTCTATACACACTTAAGTATTTAAAAACTAAAAAACCATTACCACTATCAACTATTGAGCAATTGCAATCTAATTGCCCAAGAAACACCAACAACAATCGATTTTTGAAGGTCTCGGGTTTCAAAGAATGAAGCAGCCATCATGAAATGGCATAAAATCAAAAACCTATCGAACAGAGAATAGAAGAACTTAAGTGCTAATAGATTTCTCCATCAACCAAGTAGAAACACAATATCTCAAAGCAACACCAAATATAAAATTTAGCACCCAAATAATAGCAAAATTAATTAGCACAATATGCCTAAAAGTGGTTGGTGGCAGAATGTGGTTGTGGAGGAGCTCGGGTGTGGGGTGGGGGCTGAAAGAAGGAGATGGAGTTCTGGTAAGAAATCATGCAATCATAGAAACATGGAAAATTTTGCAAGACAACAAACAATTTGAAATCATAGCCTTTGAATCAAAGAAATCATGTAAGCTACGGCCTTGATAAAGCAGCCCTATGTATATATGTGTGTGTGCGTGTTCTGTCTATTTTGTTTTGTGTGACCTATACGTTTTGGGTGTGTACAGAAAAATAAAGGGTTTTGGACCAATAAAATTTGTATGTGCTGTGATGTTGTCTATAAAGCTTAACTTGGTACAAATCTACAAAATATGTATTGCGTTGGGATCCTGGGTCTGGGTGTGTTTTGTGTTATATGCTTGTGTATGTTCTGGGTGCGTGTGTACTGTTGTGTGTGCGTGCTGGGTGTGTTCAGTTTTGCGAAGTGTGTGTGGGGGTTCCATTATGTGTCACTGTGTGTGTGTGTATGCTGGTGTATGTGTATGTGTATGTGTGCTCGGTGTGTGCCATGGGTGTCTGTAGTGAGTGGTGAAGAAGAGGAAGAACATAAAAGAGAGAGGGGGAGACAAGTGCACAAACTTTAGAGGGTCAAGAGGACTTCCTGAAGTGCTAGATCGCCGGAGAGAGGAGCGAAGTGGGTGACAGAGAGAAAAGATGGAAGAGAGAAATTGGGGGGAGAGAGATGGACAGAAGAAAAAGAAAAGGATGCCAAAGGGAGAGATGGGACTGTAGAGAAAGAGAGAAATGGAAAAGGCTGATGAGACACAACTAGGGGGGAATAAGGATCAATTTCTACCGTGAGATGAAGTGTGAAGTAATCTGAACTGTAGGTGAATGAACGGAAAAATATTTAGGGGATAAAATATTACTTTGTTCTTGTTTTATTATATAGATATAGATATCTATATGTAAAATATGACTTTATTTCTCTCTCATATAGTAGCATTCAAACACTTAAAAATAGTAATATTCAAAAAAAAAATAGTAATATTGAATATTAATATTTGAAAAAATGACAGTAATAACATGCTCAATAAAAATAGTAACATGTTCAACAAAAATAGGAATATGCTCACCACAAAAAATGGTAACATTAAAAATAAAAAATAGTAACATTCAAATACAAAAAATAGTAATATTCAAAAATAAAAAATAATAACATTGAATATTAATATTTGAAAAATAATAGTAGTAAGTTGTTCAACAAAAAAATAGTGATATAATAAAAAAAAATAGTAACATGGAATATTGAATGAAATTAAAGTTCAAACTAGTAACACATTGACCATTTTTAAGCAACATGAGAAGCTGATGATTCAATCATGATTTGTTGAACATCATTAAAACTCAAACAAAAATAGTAACATTAAAACTCAAAAACAGTGACATTTTAAAAAAAATAATAACATTTAATCAGTATCAATAATTAAATCAGGATTTGTTACCAAGCCAAAATCCTCAAAAGATAGATACAGTCAATCATCATTTACTAACCCTTGATACTCCCCCCCCCCCAATCCTCAGGCTCGGACTACAAATGCGACTAGAAAGCAGCCAAACCACCTCAGAGAAATAATGGAGTAAATTAAGAGAGAGAGTGTTCTAGAGATAAGAAATTTAGAGAGTGAGATTCAAAATTCAAAAAGATGGGCTAGATCGTGATGAGGAAGAAGAAGGGCCGGCCATCGACAACAGACCTTGCCAAGCGTAACGTCGTCGTGGAACAGCCAGCAGAGGTGCTGACGAAGAGCGACCTACGACAGTGCATCTTGTTTGGGAAAGTTTATGGGTTGAAGTTATATATATTTGTATGTATATATGGAAAATCCAAAATTATATAGGGAGGATAGTTGTTAAATCGTGTATTGGAAGGTAGATCGTTTTTTAAAAATAGTGTATCGTGTATCGTAAGATACAAAACAATTTTAAATAAATAATAACATATATATGCTTTTGAAAAAAATCATAGACTCATAAAAACATAAACATTTTATTAATATTCCACCTATTATTCAAGTCACTAATATAATTTACTAATATTAAAAAAATAATGGAGGGTATCAAATTAAATTAATGGTACTTATGTATGCTTAAAAGTAAAAAGTTATAATGTAGTGGGGTAGTAAATGTAATTTTTCAAACTTATAATAAAAAAAAATATATATATATATATATATTTGCACATGAGTCTCGTGACCCACGAATGAACATATCAGAGACAGAGAGAAGAGGCGAGAGGCAATGGCGATGGGCGATGCCAATGCCGGTGCCGGAGAGAGAGAGAGAGGAAGAAGATACCTGGTGGTTGGTGGCTCGTGGTTGTAGCTCACAGCGATGAAGAGAGAGATCGTGACACTAACAGGTTTGGGGTAAAAATTCAACCTAGGGTTTCATCCGAAATTTACAGGTCAGTGTTGCTATTTTTTTCAATTTCAAAAATTTGTTTGATTTGCTTTTACTTAGGTGTTTTTGCTGATTTATGGGTTTGGTGGGCTGGTAATTCTTGTCTTCATCTCTTGCCTTTTCTTTGACATTTTTTCTATTTTCTAAGGCTGTGAACGATTTATTGCATTAAAAAAAAAAAAAAATTAAACAGAGACTTCGCATATCGTTTGTATCGACCGATATGTATCGTATCGTAAAAACGTATCGTGTATCGGACGATACTATGCAAAAACGATACAAAACTCTGATTCGTATCGTTTTACCAATGTATCGTGACGTATCGTACGATACGTATCGCATATCGTACGATACTAATAACTATGATTGGGAGATCGTAAGATATGAGTGTTTAATTATATATGGGAAATTTGAATTTCAAATTTTATAGAGAAAATCTTATTAGCATATCTCTATTGAGCGTGAATGAAGGATTAGTTGTTTCCCAATTAGGAAATTAATTTAAATATTGTAGACTAATTTCAATGGTATAAGAAGGGTATTTTAGAATTTTAAAAAAATAGTGGACTTAACTACTTATTAGTAAGATTAAAAATGGACTTATTCCCAAATAAGTTTTCTTGACGGACTAAACTCATTATAAGTCCCTTAAGGAGGATTCAGCCCCAATTTTCACTTAAAAGTACAACACATACCAGTGGGAGGCCCAACACAAGTACAGGCCTTAGGAGAAAATGTTAAATGGGGCCCTAATAATCACAATTATTGAAATATTAAAATATGTATTCATTTAAAACTTATTTTTAGATGAAAAGATTATAAATAAGTTTTAAATTAAAGTTTGTTCATGCAAACTCCGTTTACAAAAGTTGAATTCGGAGGTCAAATGTGATTAATCCTTCCATTGATTGAAGATATATAGAAAGGGAATTGAAACTATGTTTAGGTAGTGAAATAAATTCTTTTGAATCAATATGAATTTGTATTCATTGACTTTCCTATACTAGTTGAGGCATAATTGAAGCTTACAGAGAAACAGAGCCATGTACCAGCAAAAAAATTTAACAAGACAATTATATAGTTAGATTTTGGATAATGTTTTTTGGCCATTTGTGCATTGTAAACAAATATTTATGCAAACAATCCAATCAAGTGAAAAAGACCTCAAAATTTAACCTCGGACAAAAGTTACATGTTAGAGCAGTATTTTTGTTTGCAAGTTATCAAAGTTATTGTTTTAGGACTTAGAAGATAGCACATGTTTCTGTTTTATATAAACTCAAGGAAGGCTAAAAACTCTTTTAAGTTAAAATTTCTGGCAAGTACTTGAATTCAAATTCTGAATATAAGAAGCTTTTTATACTCATGTTTTATTCTAGATCTGTTGTTTTCCTTCTATTCCTTTCCTTATGGCCTAGGTGTTTCGCCTTGAGTTTGTCCTGATGTTTGAACTTGGTACAGGTGTTGGTCTGTGGGCATGAACGACTTTTGGGTAAACAATCAACTACCCTGAGGTTTCTTTTGTGAGTCTCAATGTTGCCTGAGGGTTAGCATAGCTATAGCTATGGATTGTGTGAAGACTGTTAGTTGTATTAAAGGTAAACTATTGAAATTATGGAGTTCTTTTTGTCAGCCTTCTATTTTGGATGACGAACAATTATGCGGGCATTGTTTTTGCCCCAGATGTCCAACCTTGCTCTTTTTCTTCTAAATAAGTAGCATGTCGATGGTTTTTTTAACTTTGGTGTTTTATTTTAAAAGTGAGTTTGAATTGATTCCTGTAATGACCTTCAATGTTTCTTAGCACTATTTTTAGAAGCTGCAAACTTGATGACTAGTTCTTCATTGACCCAATGGGTCTTTGGTCCAATGGTACTCCTTATCTTGTAAAGATTTTGTTTTCTTAAAATCAAGAGTTCAAGTCCCTTTCCCCTTCCCCTTTCCCTTTCCCTTTCCCTTTAAAAGAAAAAAAATTAGTTCTTCGTTGAGCACGTTCAATGTTTGTTTCCCTCAACTCTAGTTCGTGTATCCCACCTGCCACCAAACTATCTCAACATGAACCCTGGATTCCGAAAACCTTTTTGGTAACTTATGAACCTTTTAACATATTGACATTGTACATCATATATTTTCATGATAAGTTTTCCAATGACTTACATGATCAATATATTAGATCTAAGCAAGTTCCAAAGGATCGGAAGTCGTATCCGACTCAACACCTTCAGAATCAATTCCGTTTCACGTTACGTATAATCCCCAAGTCTTTCACAACTTAGCCAAGTCATTCGAGACGTCTGTGAGTCAATCTGATAAGTTCTCATCACTGAATCGACTGATCCCATCCAGTGATGCCACAATATGACATGAATGTTTCAGTTCAACTTCTTCTTTTAGGTCGCATCGCCCGATACCATTCCTTGATACCGCGACCAACAACTCCTAATTTCCAAGAATTAGGCACTTCAACAGTATTCAATGGTTATACGGGTATCCAATTGTGTCTCAGAGCCTTCCATGTCGATGATTAATACTACATCCTTGAATCATGGTTTCTAAGGACACGTTTGCATTTTTTTTTTTTTGGGGGGAGTGGGGTGGATAAGATCTACAGTATGCTGTCTAATCTAATTACTGGACCCAGCCAGGCTGCATTACGGGTCTGAGTGACATTGATTTTTATTTTATTCATACAGTGTCATTATTTCCCACTTTTGGTCGGTCAGGATATGATTGTCATATGTTGACTCAGACCCCCACCCTGGGTGGTTTTTTCTTGAGTTACAGAATTTACTTTTTCACTCGTATATTGTACTGAAATGATAGTGATAAATATATTAGTATCGTTGTAATGCATTAAATAGCTAAAAATAAAGAATAGGTAGAACTAAATGAGCGAAGCGTTATTTTAACAGAAGGTTGGACTGGCAGGAGTGTGTTTAAATTCCAAATTCTTCAGCTCAAGGGTGACAGTGTTACTATCCTCTGATGCAAAGATGCAGCTTGGTAGATGTTTGGTTTTTCATATCATTATTTCAGCTTTGGAAATGTGAATTTGTTGCCTGTATTTTTTAAGAGAGAACAGCTACTTTCACGTTTCACAATATTGTGTTTTACCTATTGTTTTCAACTACAAATTGCATGCCATGATTTTTTTCCTCAATAACAACAGTTGGCATTAATTTCTCCTCGCTCTCTCATTCACTTGTACATATTCCCTCATTTTCATCTATTAGTTGCAATCAATTATGTGAATAAATGTTGAATGCAGGTTTGTTTCTGGTTGCAGGTCTTTTGTGCCCTCAGTTCTTATTGTTCACCATCTGGCTGTCCAGTATTCAAAATGTGGTTGCATTGCATATGCCGCATGAGACTAGCCTTATCTCGTCTACTTCTGAGCTGGCCAGCCCGCCTACTAGTGCACTGTTTGAACCCATAGTAATATCTCCTGCTGTTTTTCCACACTCTCCTTTTCCTGGTGAGCCTTTATCACCGATGTACCCATCCTTCCCAACAACCTATGATCCAGTCTTGACTGGAAGATGCCCAGTAAATTTTTCTACCATTTCAATGATCTTGAACAAGACGGCATCTGATTGTTCTCAACCTTTAGCTGCACTAGTAGGAAATGTTATATGTTGCCCACAGGTCAATAGTTTACTCCGCATATTCCAGGGATTCTACAGCACCAATTCGGATAATTTAGTTCTGCAAAATGCCGTGGCTGATGATTGTTTTAAAGATATTTTCAGTATATTAGCCAGCAGAGGGGCAAACAGCTCAATACCTACTATCTGCTCTATAAAGTCGTCAAATCTTACTGGTGGCTCTTGTCCTGTAAAGGATATAACCACTTTTGACAAAACAGTGAACACAAGCAAATTAGTGGAAGCTTGCAGTACTGTTGATCCTCTTAAAGAGTGCTGCAGACCAATTTGTCAGCCTGCAATTATGGAGGCTGCACTTCAGATATCAGGGACACAATCAATGATCAATGATGACAAAAACATAATTGGAAAGCCTACTCATATTGACATTCTAAATGATTGTAAAGGGGTGGTGTATTCATGGCTTTCTAGGAAACTCTCATTCGATGTTGCTAATACTGGTTTTCGAATATTATCTGCCTGCAAAGTTAATAAAGGTACATTTTTCTTGAAATTATTTTCTATGGATGTTGTTATTCTAAGAAGCTATTGCCTAGTGCAATGGTAACAGGGTTGGGCTGAAAACCTTGAGGTTGTGTTGACAGGCATGTTGGTTGGACTGCTTGTCCACCATTGTGCTTATTTCTATGATCTTCTGTTAATCTACAAAATTTTGGTTCCTTTCTAGAAAAAAATATAAAACTTGAGATCTTGGGTTCGAGTCTAAGAGCAGATTCTTTGTGCAAATAATGCCTGCATAGATCTATATCAGGTCCAACCCTCCTCAATTCATGAAGGCCAAACTGGATTTATGCAATGTTGTAATTGTGTTGTGAATCTTCATTTTCAAAGATTCGAAAGTTCACATACATTTGCTTGTACTTCCACTTCCTTGTGAGCATCTCTTCAAATATGTGTCTATTTAGTCGACTTTGAAATGATTAGGGAAAATGAAATATGTGATATGTCAATATAATTATATTGCATCCCCCTTAAGATATTTCACATCACGGCTTATATCTTGAATGCTTCAACTTTTATGGCATTTGAATTTGATTATTTAGTAATTCTCAGAGCATCGTTAATGTTATATTGATGAAGAAATTGCATTTTTGTTGTCGTTCTTTGTTAAAGCATGCACTTTTAATGTAATAGTAAAATAAGTATTGCTAGGGTTCCATAATTGTGCCCTGATGTTTATGTTGATTGGATATTAATGGAGCTGCAGCAATTAGTACCATCAGTGTTAAGTCTTCAAATTTGCACCAGCTCCATGACACTTGCCCTTACATATTGGGGCTGTTTCTACTTAAAGAGATATGCACAGATGAGCAAAAATGAGGTTTAAATCCTCCTCATCACTGCCTTTGGTAGTGATCTGTTTTGGGAGATCAGCTTCTTCTTCAGTGCCCTTTGCGAGGTTTTATGATAACTGTGCTCACTCACTCAGATTGTATTGGCTGTTCCCCTTCTTTTGAAGGAGGTTGCTCTCTGGGCATGTAAAGCCATGTTCCAAGGGAGAAGTTGATGAAATGTGTCACAAGCACTCACTTCTGGATCGTCTAGAAGGATTGGCATTATAAGACTAATATGCCACAGTAAATGAACCTAATAAAAGAAAATTTTCTCGGCCGTTTCCACATAATTTACATTGTTTTTAACAAATTTTAACGAAGAACAAATGTACAAATCTATATGCTATATTTTCTCCTTTGGAAAACAGATAAAGCTTTCACGGTAAACCTTTCGTACATAGATGATGCGGTTCCTTTCTCTCTTTCTTTTTCTATCTACATCAACTATATATCTGTTCTTCGCTGTAGTCTTGTACATTGCCATGCATACATATGAGCAAAGAAACAGCCTTTTACATTCTGTTTACATAGTATTATGCTTAACAGTACTTGAAGTTTAACTACATACTATATGCCCTTTGAAGGGATTATTATATTAAGCCTCTTAACAGTTGAAGCACATCAAACAGGTTACGGTAAACCCTAAACATTAAGACTCTGGGTAAAGATGCTTAAACCCCTTCATCATCATTATTCCGATCTCAAGCCTAAGAATAGCTTGTATGAGAACCAAAGCAGCATATTGTCAATCATAAAACTAAGAGAGGCATGTGATCAGATTTGTTTTAGTTTCTTTACCATCCGTTTTGCATGTTTAAGCTCAAAGAATTGGATATACATTGGATAGACATAAGCTATGAGTCAGTGAAGTGCTCATTATGCTAGCTGTCTTATGAATAGTTACATTTTGAACATGCAGTTTGTCCTTTGGAATTTAAGCAGCCATCGGAAGTTGTTAAAGCGTGCCGTAATGTAGCTGCTCCCAGTCCTTCGTGTTGTAGCTCATTAAATGCTTACATTGCGGGTATACAGAAGCAAATGTTAATTACAAATAGACAAGCAATTATTTGTGCAACTATGTTTGGGTCCATGCTACGGAAGGGTGGGGTTATGACAAATGTTTATGAGCTTTGCGATGTTGACTTGAAAGATTTTAGTCTACAAGGTAAATTTTCATGTTATATTTATGTCATTAGTCTGTTTTGAGATGAAGCACTTTATCTGATCCGATGTTTCCTTTCTGTTTTACCAATCTTCGTGCTGGCTCCAAAGCAACGTATGGACAACAAGGTTTTTATTTTCTGCTCTTTTGTCCTGTTTGAGTTCATAAAGATGTAAACGAGGTTGTAAAGGCATAAAAGATAGAAAACGACAACTCTTCAATATCATAGAAGTATGGTGTATTAGTTACTGATAAGTCTTTGTTTCATGTGAATGTAGGGTGTTTGCTTCGAAGCTTGCCTGCAGATGTGTTATTTGACAATTCAACAGGCTTCAGCTTTATTTGTGACTTGAGGGACAATATTGTGGCTCCATGGCCGTTGTCATCCTCTGTGTCCTCCTTGTCTCTTTGTGCTCCTGGTAGGCATTCTCTAAGTTACTTCTGTATAGTTCTGAAATAATAAACAATGAAATAAACTACAGATTTGTAAATGGTCTGCTTAGCAACAGTGTCATGATGAATGTTATCTAAAAATTCACAGAGATGTCATTGCCAGCGCTACCAACGTCGGAGACTTTGGGAAACCCTGGTGTGTATCGCTGCCCAGCTTTTGTGCTTTTGATTCCTGCTTTAATTTGATCAATATGCTTTCCATGTAAATGAAAAATGAACTAACAAGAAACACAAGGAAAGTGATGGCATGAAATAAGGCAGAGGGTAGACTATCTTGCATGGTAAAGGCAGCTAAACGCTTATGTTGCTGTTAAGAAGCTGCTGGGTTACATTACTGGGAAAATTAGCCTGCTAGTGGTCCCAAATGGCCAACACAAAGCAAAATGAAGTGCAGCTTTGAGAGTGAGTGGGTTTTGGAACATTCCATGGCTTAGTCTAGGTAAACTTAGGAAAGGTAGTTTACTTGCTTACTTATTTTAGTGTAAGGCAACTTAGATGTAGTTAACTTTGCTTGCTAGATGTAGCGCCAGCTAGGAAGGTTTGCTGCTGCTAAGGGAAACTTGAGCTACAAACTTAAGAAACAACTTTGTTAAATATTTTCCAATGCTTTGGGCCATCTGGTGCCCCAAGGAGAAAAAATGTTCAATATCCTGGCTGTGGTAATTTCTTTTCTTGATTCCTATTGCTTTGTTTCACTTGAGATATGTGTGAGTGAAAGGGATACTCAAACTAAGAGTAGAGCCTCGTATACATAGCCAAATAATAATACAAAGTGACCTAAACATCTTTGTAGTTTAGGCAAAATATAAAAGTCATAGTAAGGGTAAAAAAGGAAAAAAAAAACCCAAATAAATTAGATTATACTCCAACACTCCCCTCAAGCTAGACGCAAAATATCAAATAAGTCAAGCTTGACAACGGAGTTCTGAAGCATGGATAGAGTGGCAGGTTTTGTGAAAACATCCACAACCTAATCATTGGTCTTCACAAATAATGGAGTGACAATACCATAGCTAATTTTCTCCAAAAGAAAGTGAACATTAATCTCTATATGCTTCGTCCTCTCGTGTAGTACAGAGTCACAAGCGAGCTGAATAGCAGATTGATTATTACAATATAATGTAGATGAAGAAATCACTGGAAATCTCAACTCGCCAAGAATAGATCGTAGTCAGATAATTTCACATGTGTTAAGTGCTAGTGCCTAATATTCTGCCTCTGCAGACGAGCGAGAGACAACTGACTGTTTCTTGCTCTTCCAAGAGATAAGATGAGCCCTTTGAAAAGCACAGAAACCCGTAGTAGATCGACCTTCACACGCTCCCCAATAATCTGAATCTGATTAATAGGTTAGAGAATCAGTCTGAGATCCTGATGCATAGAACAACCCAAGTTCAAGATAAGACTTGAGATATCGAAAAATATAATAAACTGCATCAAGATGAGGTTGACACGACCTGTGCATGAACTGACTAACTCGGCTGACAGCGAATGAATGTTTGGCCTAGTGTTGGCTAAATAAATAAGTCTACCTACCAACCTCTGATAAACAGTCGGATCACTTAACTTCTCACCTTCAGCAGTAAACTTTAGGTTTGGAATCGTGGGTGATGATGTCGATTTGCACCCCAGCATCCCAATGTTCGAGAGAAGATCAAGAGCATACTTCCTCTGAGAAAGAATAATACTCTTATTGCTACGGGCAACCTCAATTCCAAGAAAGTATCGCAGAAATTTAAGGTCCTTCACATCGAAGGCTTTCCCAAGGTCTAACTTGACCTGTGCAATCTCAAAAATATCATCCGTAGTAATAATAATATCATCCACATATACCAAAAAGGATGACACACTGTCCAGAAATATTCTGTAAAATAAAACATGTATGATCACTAAACGTACAATTATACCACTAAATCGAAAAAATCAGGCTCGTAGTGACTGTTTTAGTCCATAAAGAGAATTACGCAGTCGACACACCTTCCCAGCATATTCTCCCTCACCACGAAAGCTTAGTGGTCATAGTTATTAGTATCGTACGATATGTCACGATACATAGGTAAAACGATACGAATCAGAGTTTTGTATCATTTTTGCATCGTTTTTGCATAGTATCGTCCGATACACGATACGTTTTTTCGATACGATACATATCGGTCGATACAAATGATACGTGAAGTCTTTTTTTTTTTTTTTGACAGCCTGATTTGCACCAAATCGAACTGATTTGCACCAAATTGTTGACAGCAAAAACATAGATAAAGACCCCCAAGCCCATAAATCAGATAATAGAGAAAATGCAAAAGAAAAGGCAATAGAAATGAAGAAGACAAGAATTACCAGTCTACCAAACCCACAAATCAGCAAAAACCCCCAAGTAAAAGTAAATCAAATAAATTTTTGAAATTGAAAAAATTAGCAACACTAACTAGTAAATTTTGGATGAAACCCTAGGTCTCAATCTCTCTCTCCGTGTTTCACGATCTTTCTTTTTATTGCTGTAAGCTGCGACCACGAGGTACTAGGCACCAGGTATGTTCTTCTTCTCTCTCTTCGGCGCCGGCATCACCATCGTCTATCGCCTGTTGCCTCTTCTTTCTCTGTGTTCTCTGTGTTCGTTCGTGGGTCACACGAGACTCACGACTTTTTTTTTGTTATAAGAATGAAGAATTACATTTAATATCCCCTACATTATTACTTTTTACTTTTAAGTGTACATAAGTACCATTAATTTAATGATACCCTTTATTATTTTTTTAATATTAGTAAATTATAATGGTGACTTGAATAGAAAGTGGAATATTAATGAAATGTTATGTTTCTATGAGTTTATGATTTTTTTAAAAGCATATATATTTTATTATTAATTATTTAAAATTACGCCGTATCTTACGATATACTATTTTTAAAAAACGATACACCTTTCGATACGCAATTTGACAACTATGTTAGTGGTGCATCCATATAAATAATCTCGTCCAGATCACTGTGAAGAAACACATTTTTCACATCTAACTGACAAAAGATGTCAAGAGTATTCCGTAGCCAAGGAAATAATCTACCGAACAGTAGTCAATTTTGCTACGGGGGCAAAGGCACCTCCAAAATCACGACTTAGTACCTGAGTAAAGCATTTCGCCACAAGTCTAGTCTTGTGACAATCAATAGTACCATTCACAAGAAACTTCAGGGTATAAACTTAATGACATCCAACAGGCTTCACCCTTGAAGGTAAAGAGACAAGATTCCATGTATGATTACGCTGAAGAGCATTTATCTCTGTTTGCATGGCAAGAACCCACTGGGGCTCCCACATAGCTTCTAAAACAAAGCGAGGAACTGACTTATCTGATAAGGCCATATTATAAGATAGAAATGTAGGAGACAGATTACCACAAGAAATATAAGTAGATATCGGATATAAAGTCATGACAGTCTAACCATAACGAACAATTGGACGGCGATCACGTTGTAGATAACGACGCTCTAAATCATCCTCCTCCACTGACAATGTCTCATTAGGGAAAGTAACTAGCTCAGTACCTACAATCTCATCAGTACTAACAATAGGTGTATTAATATTCTCAATGAACTGAGAAGTATTACTTGCATCGCATGAGGTGGAGAGGACATCAGCAAGTGGATTAGAGCGAGGACGACGAACATAAACCGGTGAAGGAAGAGAAACTGGTGATTCTGTACTGACAGGGATGAGTGGCTCTAAAGGAGAGACTGATGATTTTGTAGTGATAGTGACCAATGGCTCTGGCTCCTGTGGTACCGAAAAATCAAAGGGAGTATCATCAACTAGAGGGGCAGACACAGGACTGGAAGAAAAATAAGGAATATGCTCAAGAAATGTAACATCTAGACTATGCTACATACGACGCCTAATAGGATCATAACACCAATACTCCTTAGATTGATGACAATAGCTCACAAAGACACAACGAATCACTTTATCATCAAGCTTATGGTGAGTAAGAGACCGATTTTGAACAAAACATGTGCAGCCAAAAACACGAGGGGTGCAAAAAAATGTGTCCGCTCAGGGCATAAGACCTGTAAGGGAGCCCTGTGCTGAAGAATATGACTCGGTGTACAATTGCACAGAAAGGTAGAAATCAAAACAGCAAAATGTCAATAAGATTTTAGTACCCCCATACTTCTAAGCATACAACGTACCATCCTTATTAGACTTCTATTTTTGCTTTCAGCAACTCCATTTTGTTCAAGAGTATGGACAAGTGAGCTGCTGAAGGATACCCTAAGAGGAAAGGTGAGACATTAAGGCATTAGACACATTTTTTGGCATTATCCGAATGAAGAGCACGAACAATGACATCGAATTGTGTCCTAATCATCTGGAGAAATTGAGGTATAATAGGGAGTACATCAGACTACTTATGCAAAAGGTAGACCCAAGTACAGCGGATATGATCATCTATAAATGTCACATAGTATTGAGCACCTAACAGAACAGTAACAGAAGTGAGTCCCCAAATATCAGAGTGTATTAGGTCAAATGGCTTGGGTGACTGGTACATGCGAGAAATATAATTGGTCCAAACATGTTTCGATAAGGAACATATAACACAGTCAAGTTTATCACCAACACAAGCATTGTTTAAAGCAGAAAATAACGTATATAAATATTTAAAATTTGTATGCTCAAAACGGTCATGTCACAACTGAACAGTTTATGATGAAAAATCATAACGATAAGTACTAGGTAAAATACTAGCATGCAAGTTAGGAATAGATAAAGACAAAGCAAGTGATGGAGGTGAAGGAACTGGTGAAACTAGAGGTGGATCGCCTAGATAATATAGTTCATCTCTCTCATGTCCCCTGATAATAATCCTCCTGGTATTGAGGTCCTGCAAATAACACGTATCAGAGAAGAACACAATCGCACAATGAAAATCTCTAGCTAACTGATGTACGGATAATAGATTCATGGCCAACTTTGGCGCATGAAAAATCGAATGTAATGTAAAGCCATTTGGGAGACAGACTGTACCCCTACTAACAATAAGGGCATGTGTCACATCTACTAGTTGAATCTGTGTACGTAACTGCTCGTTAAAAGTGGTGAAGTGATGAGGCTCACCTATCATGTGACCATTCACACCTGAGCCCAGTATCGAAAGGGGAGACGGACTGACGCAAACATGAAAGACACGAGGTATATTTGTAGTGGTGGCAGTAGCAATAGTCGGACCCTGAGAAGTCAGGGCATATATAAGTATATCCAATTGGAAAGTAATAACATTAATTTCACTCTGCCAAGAAGCTGTAGTAGAAGCAGCGGCAGTAGGTGGTGGTATCTCAGCTATTGCAGCAGTACAGCCGTGAGGAGGTTGCTTAAGCTCTGGATAGAGCTTCCAGCAAGCAGCTCTGAAATGTCTCAGTCGGCTACAATAATCACACTGACGAGAATCTCCCTGTTTACGCTGATCTGGGATGCCCAGATGACGTTGGTTCGAGCGCTGTCCACCTCTGGCTGAGGATCCTGAACGAGACCCTACAGCAGCTGCAAGAGTTATCAGGTCGGCCGGAGGAGTTTAAGGTCGCAACTGGAATTGGTGCAATACGGACGCGGCGATCATGCTGCTCAATCATCACATACACCTCATAAAGAAACGGAAGTCTCATCATCAACAAGATCTGTAAATAAGGTCCCTCAAACTCATCACAAAGCCCCATATGGAACTTGTGAATCCTATTCTCTTGCTCTCGAGTATGCAGGAATGTCGCTCCCTTGGGCTCTATCCTCGGAATAACAGCAAGAGGACGTAGAGTCTCGTACTTAAGCCAGCGCTGAGTCAAATAGCCATAATAATCCTGAATCGTTATATCTCTCTGGCGAGTATATGAGAGCTCCTGAGAAAGTTCATAAACACGAACTCCCTGTCCTGATTGGAAATAAATGCACTCTATAGCTTCTGAATAGAGTTATGAAACTGGTGAATCCTGCAAACAGATGGCTCCATCGAGCCTAATAACTTTTCAAGAATAGCGCAATTCTCAAAAAAATCACGCAGAATATCTAGGGTCATCATCATTTGGCTTTGGGTGAGATCTTGTCAGCCAACCAAACTTTTCTACACAGCCCAAGAAAAGTTGGAATGGATGTGACCACTCAGCAAAATTACTGTCATTCAACAACTGTGTCGTAACCTTCTGAGAGATCATACCCAGCATTGCCGGTAATGCAATTGTGCCAGTAGGTACTGTATACTGATCAAACATAAAAGTGGGAGAAACAGGTGCTACATTCCCGTTGGAAGTACTAATAGCAGATGTCTCAACAGTAAAGGTCTTAAGTCTCTCAGTAGTAGTCATATCAACAATAATACGTGGGCAACCGTGATAGAAAAAAAAACTTTTAAGATAAGTAGAGGGAAAAAATAAGGGAAACAATATACCTCCAGTCGAACAATAGTGACAAATAAAAAAAGTCTAGAAAGCTCTCAAATAATCAGGTCACAGTGCTCAGAAATTCAGTGAATATATAAGTGATTTACTACATTAAAAACAAATCAATAAAGAAGAGGATCCAACCCCTCTTAAAAAGGTCCTAGATATTGCAAACCTAGGAAAAAAAAAAATGTCAGTGGTGCGAAGAGAGGGTGCCACTGGGAGGAAGATGCTGTGTAGGCTCTGCCTGGTGACTAGTATAGCTGCTGGATGGGGCTGGGTTTGCTGGGTTGGGTGGGTGGGTTTGCTGCTGGGTTTGGGTCACTAGATTGGATGTGGCTGGTTTCGCTGGTTTGAGTGGGCTGTCGGTGGAATGGGTGGGGTGGATTGAAGGCAGTTGGCCTGGAGTGGAGTTGTCACTGGAAGGCTGCTGGGTTGCCGGGGTTTGTTGGGTCTGTGAGTTGCTACTGGGTTGGATGTGGCTGGTTTCGCTGGTTTGAGTGGGCTGTCGGTGGAGTGGGTTGGGTGGATTGAAGGCAGTATGTCGGTGCTGTTTGGCTTAGGTGAGGAGTTGCTATGAGTTGCTGTTTGTTGTAAGGTCTCACTGTAAGTTGCTGGAAGTTGTGTTGGCTGCTGGGGTGGCAGCTGGGTGGCTGGGGTTGCAGGCTGTTGCTGATGATTAATTAGGGTGGAGGCTAGTGTTAGGGTTAGGGTTAGGGTTAGAGGTAGTGTTTGACTCTGATACCAACTAGAGATATGTGTGAGTGAAAGGGATACTCAAACTAAGAGTAGAGCCCTATATGTATAACCAAATAATAATACAAAGTAACCTAAACATCCCTTGTGGTCTTGGTAAAATATAAAAGTCATAGTAAGGGTAAAAAAGAGAAAAAGAAATCCTAATAAAATAGACTATACTCCAACAGTTTCTGATGATATATTTGTGCCATAAAATGAAATGAGACAAACTGTGCCTATTCAAGAAGAGAAAAAAGTGATGTGATGCAAAACAACTGCAATATTTCCATTTCCTTGTGTGGCCTCCAACGACTCTGACAAAAAATTTACAATGCTGATTTAATTGTGGCAACCAATGGATAAGTGGGCAGTTGTGTGATCTGGAAATCTACATCAGTGATTAATACCAGTTATTTAATTTATGTCGAAATCGCTCTTTGTTATTTTTGAGACTGGTTGATGTATGTTACGTACCACGCAATGATGCAGGTTGTCGTGGTGCCGGGTTGGATTTCCTTGTACCCGTTGTTTCGTTTTTCATTTTCACTGCGTTGTTGTCCTGAAGAGATTTGGTGGAGGCTGAGCCAGTTTGAATTAGAGGTTTTGAGAAATTGATTTTTCTTTTTTTTGTTCGAGTTTTTGGAAATTGATTGTGTGGCCAGTTTCAATGTATATATATATATATATTTTGAGTTTCTCATGTATAGAAGCTGTTTTTGGGTTTTTCATTCTTTATTAACATTTTTTAATCACTTTTAATTTTGTTTAGAAAATCATAAAAGTTTATGGAAAGTCTGTCGCTAGATATTTGCTTTTGCTTAATATTTAACAAACTACCTAAATTAATCATTTTTAGTTGATCTTTTGTACAGAATCAAAATTTTCAGACAAGCATTGAAATAATGAAGTATATTTGTATGTTACAACTTAAATATGAAAGGTTTTTCAAACAACAATGAGAGTGCAAATTTGGATCACCTCGACATGTATTTTAAAGATGTGGAATCTTGACTAGATTGATCTATTAGGGGGGGGGGGGGGGGGGGGGGGGTTGAAATAGGATTTAGCACTTATTGTGGAATTCTTGTTCAATTAAAATTTAATTCACTCAATTGTTAGTTAATTGTGTTCACAATCTCTTTTATAGATGCTTAAATCCTTAGATGGATTGGATGAATGCAAATTCCCAACTTCAACAATCAAGCACACTTTATAATCCACCAATCTAATTCCTTAAAGTCCTATTAATTTTCACAACCACGAGAAGATGATGAATATAATAAATCAACCATTTGAGCATATCATCAATTACATGGTGAGTTTGAAATTGTAAGCATGTATGTAAAGTAAAAACGAGAAGAACAATCAAAAGACAAGATAACTTTAATGTGAAAATTTTTGCGGGAAAAATCACGAGTCATAATTCATTATACTCAAATTTTAAATTACAAACTTGAAAGTCTTCTACTTCAATTATTTTTATGGTTAGACGTTTTCTCCCTTGTTTTCGCTTAAAACTTGAAAGTGTTTTCGCTTTAGAAATCCACTGCAAAGTCTTGAGTAATAGCTTCATTGGGCAACAAACCGAGCTTTACGATCTGTCATTAGGAACTGTCATCGATCTTCTTGGAATCCTCTTAAGATCATCTCATCACTACGGGTTGTGGTGGGTTTCTACTAAACATCTCTTTTCTTCAAGTTTTGAATGTATAACAAGATTGATCTTGGTATATCTGAAGTCTTTGGATGCTTACGGATGTTAGGGTTCGTTTTTAACTCTCTAGATGATAGATGAGCCTATTTTTAGGTTATAAAAACTTACTCTGAAGAAAAAAGACATTATAATATTCATATTTCCAAGAGAGTAATTATCCAATTGACAATTCAACTTCCAATCAACTCCAAAATACTCCCCAATCAAGCATGAATAAATGAATGAAACAATTATTTGTACTTCAAATACATGCATGGATAAAATTTAAACAAAAAAAAGTGATACAATTTTTAAAATTTTGAATTCAAAATAAGTCATCAATTATGAAAATCACACCCTCAAATTATAAGTTTATCCTCATTTTATCGTCTTATACATTATTCTAAGGCATATTAACAAATATAGAACTTCATACTAATTCATCAATAGAGATAATTCCTAAACAAAGTCTGATTTCTACAATCACTCACAACTATTCAAATTTTGCTTCATTAATCAACCTGTGTTGGTGTGTGAAACCAACTCCAACCAAATTTGGAATTCGTCAAACTTAAAGACTTTAATAAATTTTACACGAATTCCTAAATGCATCATTTAAGTGAAAGTAAGATCAGTTAATGAGTGTCTTATTTTTTATTTGTCTTTTTTCTTTTTCATTTTTGGCACTCCCCCTGTGTGTTACATCCCTTCTACTCATTTTACTTGACATCAATGAACAAGGTTGTGGATTCCGTACATTATATTTTGCTCTCTTGATGATTATAACTTCGTGCTTACATTTTGAGTTTTTACATTTATCACACATGGTACTCCAAACAACCAAGTGAAATTGATTTTATCCATGTTTTTGATGTCTTACCATTTTAAATTGTTGATTGATTTTGACTCTTTCCTCACATTTGGCTCATTTTGGACATCTTTTTAAGGGATTATACACTTTAATAACATTTTGTCAAACATTCTTCTATCAAGGTCATTTACATAAAAAGCTAGCAACATCCTAGATACATGAAGGCGGTTACTAATTATGAACTGGATTTATAGATTTTACAAAGATTAACACCATCCAAGCAAGTAAAAGGGAAAAAAAAACTTACTTTATAGATCACGATCTAGGGTTTACAATTACCAAGTACTATGTCCCCAAATATAGCTCATAGTAATACTCTTGACTTTGAATTGACGATGGACATGTGAAAATCCAAATCAAAGTTTGATTACCATGATCAACAACAAAAAAATAACAAATCAAAAAAATTTTTGCCTTTTTTTTTTCCAAATTTTTTTTTATTTTTAAAAATAGCAAGAAAATAAGAGAATGTGTGTAACTATGAAGTAAACAAGGAGAGAAAATTCAAAAAAATGAATAAATCCTAAACTAAAAGAAAATGTCTAAATACTACATCAAAAATCTTTTTGAATGTTCTTTTCATTTTTTTTTACGTTTTCAATAATTAAAAAAATGAAAATAAAACCCTAAACAATATTTACAATGCATGAACTTAGTACATGAGATGCTATGCATAAATGTGCATCTAGGTTCATACTCTCACCTAGACCTTAGGTGTATCAACTACTTTGGTTGTCCCTGGGACTTTCAAAATAGCCAATGGGTTGAGTCTTTCATAGTCCTCAATCCTCACCATATTTGCTTAACATTCCATGGTTTTAAATTTCTTCCAGGAACCATTGGTGGAGGATAAATCAACTTTTGGCTTTGGAGTAGAGAGTTTTTCAACATCCCAGTTTGTCAACCTCTAGGTGGGGAAAAATTGAAAGGTTGGTTCACTATTTATACCAACAATCTTTGAAAGATTATTCATTTGGTCGTTCAAAACTCTAGATTGGTTAGTTAGGTGTATGAGTTTTTTGTTCAATTTTTCCTAGCATGAATGCAATGTGTGCTATAGTAATGGTGCTCGCCACAATTAAAGAAAATCAATTTTCTAGTAATGGGTGTGTGTGCAATTTTCTTTCCATTTTTACTCCTACTGCTATTTTTACCTTTTTGCACATTTTGAGGTACCTGTTGGGGTTGAGGTAGCACTACCTTTAACAAACTTAGTTTTGGATTGAGTGGAGGTGGTATGCTCATGTGTGAAACCTAAACTTCTCTTGTCGTCTACATTTTGCCATGTAGACAACATTTTATCAAGTGTTTGGGATCATATGGAGAGTCTCTTGGAAAGTTCAATTGACTCTTGAAGGTCTTTGTTTAGTTTTGTCAATATAACCTCAAGACTCTTCTTACACTCTGCCTTCCCATGGAATTCTCTCTCAAGTAAACTCAATTTGTCCTTTAAGGCTGCATTTTCCTCATTGAGCTCATAAACTTGAGATTTAGACCTCACTATGGCAATTAGTTGAGCTTCTCTCTTGTTCTCATTTGCTTCTCTCTCTTTTTCATTCATGAATCGCATTCTTATTCCTCTTCTTACTTGGTACTCCAAAAGACCAAAGCTATGAGTCCAAACTTGTGACACTCATGTCATTGGAGCCCTTAACCCTTTTTTCCAACCACTTGCTAAAAAAAATTCCTACCTTACCTTTTGG